AACTGTGGGGGTGGTTTAAGTCCTGGGTACTTCTGGAAGCCAAACCCTGCTCTTTAAACCGAAAAATCTGTCAGATTCAGCATCTGATGAATGCTTATGTGGTGAGCAGATATTTGAAGAATTTGGGTCACAGGCTCATTTCCAAGTAAAAGAAAACTACTTTCCAGTCCTGTCCAAATCGACATCCTGTTCTCTGAGTGTGGCTTTTAAAAATCGTGCAGTCAGCCTCTACATTCTTTAATTTGCAGTCAGAATGAATAGTGATTGTCAGATACTTTCTTAAATTGGAATAATATCTGACTACTGTGTCTGCATAATCAAAACCTGAACTAAAAAGACAACTTCAAGCCTTAATAATATATTTTTAAATATAATTTCTGGTTTTTATTAGCTGTTGGAAAACATGACTGAAGTTGTTAGAAAAGGGATACAGGAAGCACAACTTCAGCTTCAGAAAGCAAATGAAGAACGACTCCTGGAAGAGGTAAGGGCATAAACATTAGTTATCCAGTAACTTGAAGTAACTTGTCACAACGTGGGTTGTGTGCTCACCAGCCAGTGATTGTGTGCTTTGCAGGGACTGCTACGACAGATACCTGTAGTAGGCTCTGTGCTGAACTGGTTTTCTCCATTCCAAGCCTCACCAAAGGGAAGAACATTTAATTTAACAGCAGGTAGGACTTGGTGCATCTGTAGCCATGTTATGTTGTCATTAGAACTGTTTCCAATCTTATACTGAAATTGCAACACACTTTCTTGGGCTGATTTGATCACGACATAACTCGCCCTCAAGATGCAGAACGTGCTCTTCACTGTTTCTGTGAATAAGTCAATCTTTGATCCTTACTGTGCAGTTTACTTTTTGTTCTTGCATGTTGAGTCACATTTAAAAAAAGCTGTATTAGACCTTGGGATTTATTAATATAGGAATCATTTCTGTGACTTCTGGCTACATGCACTGCAGCAGTTTGATGTTTGGTATGTAAATATGTAAGCTGGCAGCGTGGCTTCCCCGTGTATATACTAGTGTATCCTCAGGGTGGTTGCAAAGCAGCAATGTTTCACAACATTGTGAAACTCGTGTTTCACAGTGCTGCTGGAACTTGATGTCTCTGATATCCTGCTCAGAGGTATCCTGTCTCTGATATCCTCCTTCTGTGGCTGTGGCCACACTGAAGCACTGGTTTGCAGACTGAGGAATATGATGCCTGACAAGGATGGGTGAGAACTAGCTGAGGATTAGCATGGACCTGGCTTTGGGGAAGACAACAATGAATGGAGTGTTACAATGTAAAAGACTATTATTTTACTAATATATTTGTAATTCATGTCTGCTGTTGTGAATGGAACTGTCTGTACCTTTTACAACTTGCAGACTGATGTACTAATGCAGTACTTTTCTAAAAGCATAAATTTGCACTGTAAAAACTGTGGCAGAGTCTGAATTTGGCCAAGTGTCTGTTGGCCCCAGAAAAACAGCCCAGCTGTCTGGGTGTCTCTGACTTAAGTCTTCCTGCTGTACTGGGAGCTCGCTATCTGAGTCTTGATGCACCAGTGGGGAGATTATGGTGGAGAACAGCAAGGTTTCCTTGGGAATACTTTGCCCTTCCATGCACACTGCCCAACAGCTAGGACACCTCAGGTGTCCAGTGGAGGAGGGAGGGAGGGAGGACAACTGGATGTAGCAGTGTTGTGCAGGGAGTGTAGGAGACATTTTATTCATCTTTGCGTGTCCCCAGTTTGCATACTGGGAGATGGATTAACAGCCAGTGGCAGGTTCACCTCAGCCTGGCACGTACAGTTTCAGAAATGTGCATTAAAAATAAGATTGGTGCATACCTTGTCCATGCAGCGGAACACAAAACTGGTCTGGTTTGTGCTATATTTAACTTGGTATTTTTTGTTTTTAACCTGGAGGCTCTCTGGAATCCACGGAATCTATGTACATGTCAAAAGCCCAAGGAACAGGCACTACTCCACCACCAACTCCTACTTCCAGCCTCACAAAGCAAAGACTCCCTGGTAAGTTTCCATGTCTTAGTTTTACTTCTAAAACTTGCTAAAACATCCTGCACAGGAAGGCCCACATGATTTTCCATCTTTTGTAATATCTGGAGCTGGAGCTCCTCTTCTGATGCTTTTAAGTCAGTCTTTAAAACTTGAATATAAGCATGGCATGCAGCAGCACCCCAGTCTGTGTTCTCCCTCAGAATTCTTCCTGGGACTGCAAGATGCTGTTATCCCAGTAACTGACAACTTGCCCATGGACTCTGGAGAATCTTCCTCTGGACTATTATGAGGTTCTAGAGTTTTAAAAATGAGTGGGTAAACAAGCCAAAAGTTTTATTTGAGATAAAAGCATAATGTATAATCATGTATTTGAGCAACTGCGATTCTTTTACTACCTAAATGGTTTGTGGACAAAGTAACTCTAAGGCAGAGATCTGTTTAATTTGTGGCACTTTCTGCACAGTTGTATTAGAATTAACGTAGATATGAGTGGTGGGAAACCCATCATTTTAACTCACCTTTTCAGCTGGTTTGGCTCTAGCCTGTGATTTCCAGTGCAAGGTTTTACCCTAAAAGGACTTTGTATAGGCAGCTCGGTTTTTAGTTGAATCTCAACAGCCTCTGTGTAGACAAGATAAAGCAGCCCCTCGAGTACCAGGCTGTGACTGCAGCTGATGTTCAGGGTACAAGTTTGCATCCAAAACCAATCAATCAGTTTCTTTGCGGTTGTCAAATTCAGGTGCTTTCTTTGAAACTGAACTTGTGTGAACCACACTCTGCATTTGCTCCCTCCATCAGTGCTGTATTCTTCAAACACTTTACAGGTCAGAAAGTCTTTAAAAGGTCTCTCAGAAGTTCTGATGCACTCAGTGAGACCAGCTCTGTCAGCCACTGTGATGACCTGGAGAAGACGGACCAGAGAGCCTCAGCTCTGTCCCCTAACCAAGAGCAAGGACCTCTGGATACACAAAAACTGGAGGAGCAGAAGGAGGTGGCAAAGGCAACAACAGACACTGAGGCCACTCAGAGTGCCCAACTGCCACGTGACTGCACGGAGGCAGAGAAACAAGGAAGTCAAAGATAAAATCCCGACTGTGGATTTTGGACCTTGCAGAGGACGCCCGTGCCCAGGAGGCAGGGCATTAATGATGCATTGAAGATGTGAACAGTGCCACACACTCATACAGTAGTAGCTACTGTAACTTATTAACTGGGATTTTGCACAAATATAACTTCCCCCATGGGACAGAGGTTTGTCTTATTGTACATGTGTTACAGTTGCTTTAATCCTCTATATGTCCGTGTCACCAAAGTACTAGTGAAGTTTATTCAGTGCTCATAACCATTTGTAAAACCAGTTGGCAGTTACTTTTCCTGTAGGAATCTAAGCATGATAATAGCTACTAACAAACCAGTCAGCCATGCACATGATTAAGAATACAGCTGCACTCAATAATTACAAAATGATCTTATTTGATGTTAATACATGTTAAAAAAGAATCAACTGCCAATTGTTCACCTTTTTAATATCTAAAATCCAGTTTAGCTCCTGCAGAACACCCGCTGCAGTCACACTCGCTCCTTTTGCTGCTGTTTTTCCCCTGTAACCAAGGTTGCCAAAGGGCTGTGGTACGGTGAGCGCAGGGCTGGCTGAGGTAGGCATGGAGCAGGACATTGCCACCAGCCACCTCCTCCAGCTTGGCCCAAGGTAAGTGGAGACTCTGTTAACGAGTTTTAAGCCTTTTAGAAAGAACTAGTGCCTCTGCATGCTGAAACCTCGCTTCCGCCCCAGAAAGAATCACCAACACACCATTATTTTCCTTTGCACGGCCTTTGTAAACCAAATACTATTGAACACATTTCTGTAGTGTAACTGGAGTTCTTCCTGTTGTGTATTTTTAAAGATAGTTGTAGTAAAGCTTGAAAACCCAATACATTTGTGATAGTTCAACACTTATTTTTTGAATAACAGCAACTTACCTATGGTAGGAATTGTACAGAATCAAATTCTATAGGTTACTTACACTACAGCACAACTTCATAGTGTCTGGACTACTTAATGAAAAAGCAAAGCTTTGGATAAACCTAAAGTTAAGCTGTACTGTCTTCCCCCCCCCTCCCCCAATTACCTTAATCTCTTCGCTGCAAACTGTCAGAGCCTCATGTGGAAGGAGATCTTTGTAAAAGCTTCCTTTCCCCAAGGAATCTGAATCTGAAGAAAACGACCCCATCCCAGTAGAACTGGATACAAGGACTGTACTTTGCCTCACTGGTGTTTTGGTTGGCTGTTTCTCTTCCCCCTGGCAGGTACATGCACACCATGATGGCTGTAGCAATAGTAGGACTGTCTCTGATTGATAATCAGTGAAATCTGGGGGTGTTGCATTGTTCTGTTTCTGATCTGGCACTGGGTGCCATGAACAAGGGTGATTTTGCTGTTGGGGTTATTTATGTAAATCAGCATGCCGTTTCTCTGAAGTGCAAACACAGTTAAGTTGCCTGGTCTTCCTCATGGGTTTCTTTGGTGCAATGAAGTATGTTAATAAGAGTAATTTGCTGGGGATAAAGTTATCCCCACCAAGATTAATTTTTAATGTTTTTATATTTGGAAGTGTTAAACCAGTAGTTTTGTTGGAATAAGCTTCATTCTTTAGATACTATCTGAATGTTTCAATAAAGATTCTTCAAATTATTACTCTTGCATCAAGTTACTGCTGCAGGCCACTTCCCTACAGATCAGTGTTAAATATGTGCTGCTTGCCATCACTTAGGGCGGAAAATCATCATCTGCAGTACTTACCAGTGTAACAACAGACCTCCTTACCTTCTCAGCACTGCTACCTCTCTCTCTGTGCCCATCGAATTACTTCATTGGAGCAATAAACCAAGGCCAGTTCTTTTTCCAAAGCAGCACTGTCTCTTATGTAAGTAACGCAGAAAAAGCAAGTTCCTTCTGGCAAAATACTTTATTTTGAAAAGTGCAAGACACTGGTGTTGGTGACCAGCAGCTCTGCAACACACAGCTCTGCTGGCACGACTGTGCTTCCCTAAAGCAGTCGTGGTTTTTGGTTCCAGGTTAGATCTTGTCAGAACAAACCTGTTCCCATAACCCTTCTTCGTTTTTTTTATAGATGCGAGGTTTCCTGTCAGGAAACAGGGAGCGAGATGGAAAGGGGTGTTCTTTTAGAAATGTTAGTGTAGATCTAATGTGGGAGACAAAGTGGGGCGGCTCAGCCAGGGGCGAAGTGGAAAGATTCTGAAAGACAAGACGGGAGCGAAAGCTGCTTGATATTGAGCACAAAGTTCTCAGTTATTCTGCCTTTTAGTAAGACAGTACCCCCCTTCCCAGCAGCACCGTGGGACAAGTTTTGACAGACCCTACCCCTCTCTCTGCTCAGCTAGAAGGAGAAAAAACAAGACAGTGTCAGATACCTGTAAAATCTGTTCATCATCTTGTTGCAACCAGAAATCCACATGTGGGAACGGCCTCCAGAAATAAGGCCCAATGTGCAGTTGTTCCATCTTTGCATCGTAGATGTTTGTCAGCTGTAACAACACAGGAAGCTTGAGTCAGACAAAGGCCTACACGCCAGCAAGAGCCAATGTGTGCACTTCATCTTGAGGGCCTTAAGCTACTGCTTCTGTCTTGGATGCTGCACGTACCAGCTCAGCCCCACTCTATCCTACTGCACCAGGATTAACTGGTTCTTCTGACAAACGCCACATGGAACTCTAGCAACAAACCATCCGCAGCAGGAGCAGGATGGGATTACGCCTGTGGCCTGAAATCTCTTTATGTAAGTTACCCCCTGGGCATCACAGCACATGGGAGCTATACTGCACAAGGCACCCCCTTGCTGAAGTGGTCTGGTCCTTTGCCTCTGCCCTTCTATCCTTCTCCTTTAGTGACAGAACATCACTAAAGCATTTTTTTTCCTCAGTTCTTTGACATTTCACTGCCCCAACTGGTCTCCCAGCAAAAACCTCCCTCCCTGTTATTTTTACTCACCGTTGCTCCTGTTAATATGTGGGCTGAACGCAAATCCTCATCTGGCCCTTTTTCTGGGAAGGTTGCAGGGAAAATCTCTGCTGTTTTGACATTCACAGCTGGTAGGAAATAAGAGTTTAAATGCAGAAACAACTAATTCTTACAGAACTTGTTTCAAATGGCCACGTCCCCAGCGCAACTGCATAGCTGGAACTTTAGAACCCACCAAATACTGTTCGGTATTTCTCAGTGCCACAGACCCCTGATCCTACAAGAGCTTATTTCTACTTTCTTTACATTGGCAGCATTTCACTGTTCCAGAAGGACATTTTCAGAGATACTGAAACTAATCAGAAAAAGCACAGAATGAACAATGAAAAGAAGGTGGACTTCCAATCCCAAAAGCGGTGCAGTAGCTTCATACTGAGAAAATCCCAAGTACAGTTAAATGAAGTAAAATCTGCTTGTACACATGCACAGCCACTTCCATGTGTGCACCCACCTCCCTGGGCACCAGAAAAAAACTTCTACCTGTACCTACACCTCCTGCAGCGGCACTTAACTTTTAGAACAGGTTTTAACCAGTCATTAGCAGCTGTCCATTTACTATTGGAATGTGAAAAGCAATCTAGTTACAAAAACACAATTGAATTCTAACTTAACTCACCTATTCCATAAATTATTGGAAAGTGAATATCCTCTTCTTCTCTGTCATTTAGCTCTGTAAGAAAAAAACCCAGCTGTCAGACTCACTGGACTTTGGATTATTTTTCTAAGCAGCATTCATTTAATTGTGTGTTACCAAAGAACACTGATGAACGCTGAGAACATGATGTTGCCAAAAGAACTATGGAGAAGGTGGTTCAGGTCAGCACTACCACACTTGGGACCCAAAGAACTCATCTCCAAAGAGCATGGCCAGTTCCAGTAAACAGCTGCTCCACTTCCTTCACAGGGAATTTACAGGGAAAAACCCACAGTGCAAAACTGCCACAATGCCAAGTTTCAAAGCTGTACATCACCAAGAGTGCTAAGCTGTAACAGTGATAAGCATGGGACCTGAACGCAACAGGAAGAGAAGAACTTCTTCCTTTACATGACATTGCACACTATGAACTGACTGGATGAGTTTATGAATCCATATGGACGGGCAGGAAGGAAACCAGAGGTCTATAAGGATCATTCTCAGCTGCTCCTTAAGACACCCACCAGTACACAGCCTCTTTCAACAGGACAAAGGTGGTGAAATAAACTGGCAATAAGCACAGGCACTTTGTAAGCAAAGAACTTTTGCTGCATCATCTATGTGACATCACCACACACACCACCAGCAATAAACCTTGAAATTATAAGTCGCCATGGAGAGCTCGTGCTGCTCTTTCTTACAGGACAGATGAAAAAGCCACGGGTGGAAAGACCCCTGCACTTCTATTTCAGTGGCAAAAGACACTTCAAACCCCACAGAACCATTTTCTTACCTGTTACACAGAAAGTCACTAGATGAACATCATCTGGCTGGAGATCGAATGCTCCTACAGCAACAACGACAGCAGCAATGGGTAAGACTGACTGGAGGCAAAGCAGGTGCTGTACATAGACGAGGGGCATTGCCAGTGCTTCGCACTGCGGGATGGTGGCAGATCCCTAATGCCCTGGCCCTAGATAAGGCAACAGAGCAAAGAGCATCTGGCAGACTTGCTGCAAACTATGAAATTAAAGCCACAGCTACTAAGTGTAACAGTATTTACAGAGAGCAGCCACTTGTAATGGCAAGAACATGCTAGAAGTGTTGTGCCACCTCCTCCTTTTACTGACACTGGTTTAGCTCTGGCATCACAGCAGTTCTGCTTTAGTTCACTAGTCATTTAACAGCTTGCATTTAAATGCATTTGCCTCACGTGTTACATATATAGTGCACAAACCCAGTCTTTCATTAGCTATGAATTAATTTTGCTTTTCATCATCCCACACACTAGGAAAAAGTAACAAACAACTCTCTTTCAAAGCTGTAACAGCAATATAGTGTTATTGTTTCAAACTGCATGAAAATCATTAGGTTGAAAGAAATATATTAATCAAAATACTTCATTCTTTACAGAACCCTCACACACCATGTAACACAGGTACCAGGAATCAATGGTGCAATGGCCATGGGGGTGCTTCCCAGGGCTTTTCCCAGTTTGGTTTTCCTCCTTGTTTACCCCCTTGGCCACCTCCCTCCGCTCCTGACATCTGCCCCAGCCCAGCCAAGCCCCCTCCATGCTCAAGAAGTGCTCAGCAGAGGCCAGAGCATCTCCAGGGAAGCTCGAGGTGCTTTACTTTTCCCATTTGTTTGTAAAGCACCACAGTCACTTCTCTGGACTAGAGGTTTTATAAACAGACACAGCATCTTTCAGCACACAATTCCAAACAATACTTAATTTTCCCTCATCACATTAATGAATGGTAACTTGATGAAGTCACTACATGTATAGATTTAGACAGTGACAACACTTGAGCAAGATCATGCAGCGTATCGGCCGCAGAGCTGGGGTCAAGCCCAGCTGAACTGGCCCCAGTTCTAGAGGCCAGAATATAAATCAGGAAGAAAAGGCAAGTTTAGAGCCTCCACCCCACACACCTGTCACAGGCGAGGCTTCAACCCCATCCCCTCTCCACAGCAAGTTCTCAGGTAAAGAAAACACCCTTCAAAACAAACCCAGGTCTCTTTCAATTCAGTGAGGGAGCTCAGATTACAAACAAGCTTTACCCAAATCCAATCAGAACTGGTTTTTTTTTGGACATGAGAGTGGAAAAAACGTGAACTTACTAAGAAGCTGATTAGTAAGTTTTTGTGATAACTGCCTATCATCATTGAAACCTCCAACTAGGTGCACTTCCAGCCTAACAGAGATGGAATAACAGGAAACAGCAATTAAAAAGACATCCCAAAGTGAACAGCTTTACAAATTAATCCCCCCCACAAACTGCAAAGCAATCATCAGAGAAGCCTCCCTGGTTACAGGTCCCATGGACCAAGCTGGTCTGCATTCCAGAGCATGTTACAGTAACTCACTCTCGACACTTCAGGGATCACCCAGGCAACAGCACAGATCAAGAGGCATTACACACATGCAATCCTCTCCAGCCCCGAGGTATCTCCCATGGTCAGAACCTCTGGTTTGGACTGAATGTGGTAACCACCTTCCAGTTCCCAAGAAAAGGTTCGTTAAACAGGAAGAGTTTTCCCCCATGACCTCCTCACAACTACTCTGGACCATACAGCAGGGTTCGCTCTGAGCAGTGTCTATGTAAAGACAAGTCCTGAAAAATCATGAGGTTTTCTGAGACCGTATCTTCTGAGCCAATTGATTCTTAGAAAACTACAGGGGCAAAACCCTTCACATCCAGAAAGGACCTGGTTTGCTAAATTCTGTTTCAGAGCTTTTTTGCCCCCCACTGTCCTGTCCCCCCATTTTTTTTTTTTTTTAATTTGCACATGCATTTACAAGACCATCAGCCTGGAAGGAAAAATATAAAACCAAAAGCAGTTCTTTGGAAAATTTCACATATCTAAAACCAAAGTTAACTGGGAACCAGTAAACACAAATCCTCACAATGACATTTTACAGAGACACTACTCGGGACAGAAACCGCTGCTAAAAATACCCTAAAAATCATCAGTTAGGAAACCGCTTTCAGTTCACACACGGTTCCCAATCAAGAGCTATTTCCTGCACAACTGCTGTGTCTGAACCCCATATGATCACATAAAAACTCCCCACCTTACAAACTGCAGTAACCTTTGTGAAAACCAATGCACAAGAAGTAAGAGCGGAGCTGACCTTCCACATCCTGCGGTGTCAGAGAAAGATTTTACTGAACTCATGATCAGGGACACCTCAGCTTCTGTGTCTGACCCATCACAGTGCGTCAAGCAGGTGGCTCCACTGCCTGAGGAAGACAAGAGAAGACATCAGCATCACTGCTGGAGGCTGTTATGTTACCATAATTGAGGTCAGTAGCAGTTTACACTACCGTAGTAGTGCAAGAGCTACATCCACCAGCACACTGCTACCACGCAGCACAGCGGCCTCCAGCAGAAGACGTGGGCTGACTGAGGCAATAACCTCTCTGTGTGCCCCACCATAAACCCACCAGAGCTCATATGAAGCACACAGGTGCCCTCTGGACCAGGACCTGGGCATGGCTCTGATGTCAGAAACCCAGGCACATTGCCAGGATCCTTCCACAAGTTCTGGCCCTGTTGTTATCAAACCCTGCAGGGCAAACTGCTGAACACAGCCACCACAGTCTGCAACTGCCCCTGGCCATGGGAGCAGATCAAGTTTAGGATCCACTCAATGAGCAACCAGAACATGGAACCTCTGACAGCAAACACACCAATTCTTTAGACAAGTTAAGTTATTCAGTCACCAAGTGACTTTTTTGAGATTCAAGTTTATATAGAGGTAATTGTAGCTTATTTTATTAATGTAGCATAAACCGATGCTAATTCATTACTTCAGGGGTACAGGTTTTATTCTCAACATCCTTTAAAAGTACCTGTGTGTCGGAGCACAACTATATGGCAGGTAGTTGCATCATCTGAACCAAGAATGGAAACTGAACCTATTTTAAAGGAGAGAAACATCATAAGAGCTGCGCTCTCACAATCACTGCTGCAATAGAAGAAAAAAAACCTTTACATTCCTACACACCATCTTTAGGGGTCGTCACTGCAAACTCTCTCTGCTGGACATAGAGAAGACCTTTGGGCTCCACAATTTGGGCAGGCTGACTTCTCAGAAGTTTTGCCTTTTCCTAAAGATAAATGATAACAGAGACTACAGTGGCTGAACTCTCAGGTGTATCCATTACTTGACAGAAACACCACCTCTGAAAAGCAAAGGCATCCGGGTCAGAGAGAAATATACGTATTTTGTGTTATGGAGTACTCTGAATTTGGAGAATCTTTTGCCTACCTGCCACTGATCCAGTTAATTGTTAAATCCCAGCATTCCATACACACACAAAACCCTTTTCCTTAAGATGATAAAATGGCAGCACAACTAAAAAGCGAGAGGCCTTGGCAAAGATGCATCAGACAGCACCAGAACTGAGCTTGGAAGCTTGATCAGGAAACTTCTGAAATTAAAAAGTTTCTGTCTTCTACTGCCACAACCCAGTGTATTTATTTAGTACTCGATCAAACACCGATTCGGTACCCTAGTGCAGGGAAGCCCAAATTCCTGGGCTGTGACTACACCAGTGCTGTGACAGGGCAGGGAGCGCGTTTCCATCCCGGGGCCCAAAAAACACCTCACAATTTTATCACATTTCCACTGGTTTTCTGAAAAAAAATCATTTTCTCTGAAGACATCTTTGGACCAGAGACATCCTGTCAACCAGCTCTGCTCGGCAGTTCCGGGCTCACCGACAGGATTACAACGCTTATGTTCTGGAAGGGAGGTTAATACCTTCCCAAGAGTCTTTTACCACGGTGTTCGTCATTCCGCGCAGAAAGGGACAGCCCGAGGGAGCCGAGGCACCCGCAGCCCGCCCGCCCTCCCGCCGCGACCCTCCTCAGGCCGGTACCGCGGGCCTTCCTCAGGGACATCGGCTCCGCTCGTCCCAGTCACCCCGTGCCCCTCCGCTGCCAGCGCGCGGGGAACGCGGCGGTGCCCGATACCTCAGCGCGGACACCCCAGCCCGGGTCCGCCCCGCTCCAACACCCGTCTCGCCCTGCTGAGGCGGCGGGTCTGCTCCCGGGCCCCGCCGCTCGCCCCCGCGCCGCATTCTCACCTCGAGGTGCGGGTAAGCGCGGATCATCTCCGCCGTGGGCCGCGCCAGGTCGACCCGCTGCCCGTTAACCAGCAGCGGCATGGCGGGGAGCGCCCGCGCCCGGAGGCGCCTCCGCGTTTCCTCCCGAGGGCCGCGCCGGGCCCGGCGTCGCCGCGCGGGGCGCTGGGAAACGGCGGCACCGCCCGAGGAGCGCCCGGGGACCGGGGCCGGGGCCTGTGCGGGCCCGCAGGGGCGGCCGCCTGAGGCGGGGTCAGAGGCGCCGGCCGGAAGCGTGCCCGGACGTGTCACAGCCCAGCGGCCCCCGCTGCGTAGCGAGGCAGAACGCCCCCGCGCCAAGCGGCTGCGGGATCATCCCAAAGCGGTTGCATGGCATCGCTTTGGGCACAGCCGCAGTCACCCGCTAACCCGCGCCGTTATCCTCCCCCAGCAGCCACAAAACCGAACTTTCAGACAACCCCACAGCCGCCAGGTTTTCCTTGAAGAGCGAGTCTGCTCCTCCCGCTGGTCGCGGAAAAGCTATCGCGGTGGCAGCGGTTAACGCACGCTGCAGGGAAGGGGTCAGCGGGGACTGGCACCAACGGGCCGGGCCGCACAACCCCAGGACTGCCAGCTCTGCCTCTCCCATCACTTATGGACAGAAGTAAACAGTTATAGCGGATACTCTCTTTGAAAGATTCATTTCAAAATACCTGTATTTCTCAGGTAACGCAAGATTCCACCTGGCCATCAGCACTCCTCTGGGTACAGCTGGTATTCACAGAACAAAGTCTCTTTGTTTGAAGCAAGCCCCTTCGGTACACAAATGTTAGGTGTATAAAAATATGTGCATCTCCAGCACAAACCGTTCAACGTCTGCACATGCTTTGTTATACCTCACGTCGCTTACATCTTTCTGTAAGATGTGAAGTTCCTGAATCGCACTCCTGGTATTACAACTTGGGGAGTTTCACACAGCCTCACTCTGTAAGTGGCTGACCAAGTTGCTAAAGATGTAACAGTGAAACAAGAGAAGGCAGCAGCTGTCAAAGGATGTTTTCCTTGCTGCTGAGCTGGGAAAGGCTCTTCTATGCCAGGAGAGAATGCAATTTCAGATGTAAATCTATTGTTTATTACTCAGGACTGACAGTAAAGAGAACGCAGCTGAAAAATAAAAACCACCTCTATTTAACCAGCAATGAACAGAACCAACAATGCATTTTGCAGTATCATCCCCCAAACTCATTTTGCAGCCTGTCAGAACAAACATCCTCACTTTGAGAGGCAAAGCACACACACAGATCCTTAGTTACGCACGGATGTGTTTTTTCAAAGCTGTAAGAACTGCAGTTTACATCAGTCTTCCATGGCTCTGAATAAAAATGCTGTCTTCAAAGCCACCAGATTCAGATTCTGAAGAAGGGCAATTAGAGTTCAGTGCCAAATGCAGAACATTTTCAACTAATAACACAATTAACACTTCTTTTTTCCTCACTCTTTATATTCTTACTCAGAAAGCCAACAACCATCAACAGACAAGGAACCTCTGCAGAGGAACTCTACACTGACATGTGGACGACACGAGGACACCAGTGACACCATCACTTCCTTTCTACAAGGGAAGGTTTCTTTTTCTGTATTTTCAGCATTCACATATAAACTTCAATCCCGGAAATAAATATCTGTCTCCAAGTGCTTCATAAGCACCCCAAGAAAACTATCTACAAATCATACATTCAGCTACTCCACCATTTTCAACACTTCCAACAATCATCACTTTCACAAGTCGGAACTTCAATAGCTGGGAAAGTTGTGTGTCAGCTACAGATTATTATTATTCATCTGCGAACATTGTCCACTACCAACTGCCTTTACCAAATACTGTTCTGCAGATCGGAAAAGCTTACGAGATATGTGCAAAGGAATCACTCTCAGACTCGATCCATGGTTCCCTTTGTCATGGGATCATACCATTACTCTGAAATCAGCTCAAAAGCAGTCAGAAGAGTAGAGTCTGAATACTGACAATGGATTCTGGTCCCCACACAGATCAGTAGGAAGACAGACCAGATATTCACCCTGAATACAAAACCTCATAGAGAAACATGAGTAAACAAAGTTTTTTTAAGTCAGGAAAACTATAAAAAAATTCTTCAGTCATAAAAGCCATTTCAATGTGAAATTTGTAAAATATCACCCTATTTATTCTCTAAGCTTTTCTAGCAACATATGACTTTATCATAACATATCTATAGAAATATGATTAAGAAACAATATTTTTTCTTAAATGTAGTTATTTAAGCATTTGCCATTTTGGAAAGTTGAACTGAAGTCTCTTTAAAGAGCAAAACATTGCACACAATTTTCAACCTTTTCACTTCTCCATGTCACTGAGGGTATGGCACATAACAGTCTGGAGGGGAGCCAATGCTGTTCAGCGGGCTCCGGGTATTTGACTCGTAAGAATTCGGAGCAATTCCAACCACGCCATCATTTTGAGGGGTTTCTCCTTTCAAAAAGTCATCATCTTCATCTTCGGAAGTACCCTGAATAAATTGAGAAGGATCAGTGAGAGCAGAAAGATACTCCAGGTCTTGATTAAGATTTTATGTAAATAATGACTGCTGAGACCAACATTTCTAAACTGTTGCAATAATCAGATCTGCTAATCAAAACATAAAGCACCAGTAAACAAAGCTACAACACCATCAAGTATTTTTACATGTGATTACAGGAAGGAAAGGTAAACACACCAGTTGAAGGGCTCAATAGGACAGACATTCTCCAAGAAGGTCAAGAGACTATACAGGAGCCTTAGGAGGACATAATTCAGGATTTGGGTTGTGCTACAATTGTCGTGACTAGTTGGAATGGTAAGAGAATTAGAGGTGCTCTCATTATGAAATATGGGAACTAAATCATATCTACAAAGTGGATTTCCCAGTGACATCAGCATGTCCATATGCTGAATGTTCATAAGCATTCACAGTGCTCCTGTGCTGCCAAACTCTTCTGCAGAAGAGGGGAAAGTGCTCGCAAAGCAAGGATGCATCAATCCTTAAAACTTCTTCATTTCATAGTTTCCCCCTAAATGTTTAGTGTTCCCATATCTACTAAAAATTAATCCTACAATAGAAGCAGCTGACAGATTTGGCAAAAGCTGAACTGCATTTTGATCAGAGATTACCTTTTTAATGGGTTTCTTTAGGTTCTCAAGATCTTCAGCACTCAGCTCTTCCCAAAACTGATAAAAAGGCTCAATGGTCTTCTTTGATCTAAGAAAGGAAATAAAATCCAGTAAGGAACTTATTCAGGAGAAGTCATATGTATTTCATTTTAATAATACAATAGAAAAAGCTTGACATTTTGACAGCCCTCTGTAGTGTTTTACAAGCTATTCAATTAATCCCTATATAATCCCATATTAATCTCATGAATAACTCAATTTTGCTGACAAGTATAAATTACAATTGTTTGTTTGAGTTCTGATACAGTCAGGTCTCCTAATTCTTAGCTGGTTATTTTTCACAGCTACACTATGCTTGCAAGTAAGCATAAATTTATTCCATTTTTTAAAGCAATATGAGTAATGTTATTATCATGCAATTGTGTAAATAAATATATAATTGACAATTTTATGTAGTTTACTGTTGTGTATTAATATAATTAGTAATCTTAATTTGTACACCTAAGAAAGGTCTCCGTTCCATGGAGACGGATTTCTTTGTTGCCCTTTAATACCAAAAAGTGGTTAAAGCATCACAGTGCAAGATGTTCTGAAAAGCTGCAAATAATCCAGTACTCATTAAAAAAGCAAGATATATTAAATGGGGCTTTGAGCAACCCAGTGTAGTGGAAGGTGTCCCTGCCCATTGCAGCGGGGCTAGAACTAGATGAACTCTGAGGTCCCTTTTGACACTAACCATTCTATGAGTCTGTGAAGTCTTGAATCAAAAAGCAAATGAACTCAAGGTGCAAAAAACCCAAAGCAAATGAAAATAAGAAAGAAAATGACACAAAACCACCACAGCTCTAACAAAATATGTATTAGGCTAACGCGGTATTTTAGAAACTGCTTAAAACAAGATAAACAAAAAGTCACCAAACAAGTTAACTAGACCTTCCAGGAAACTGGGTCCTGCTCCTTCTTCATCATACGTTACAGTGGGGATAAATTTCCATTCAAACCTTTGACAATTTCTGATTAAAATATGCTACATGAAAAGTACCAGAGATCAGGGAAGAAACTGAACCATAGAAATAATGACAGTTTCTTACAGTTTTAGTTCATTATTTTCTTCAAGGCAGAAACAAGTCGTTTATTTTTCAACTATACCTTTTGAGTATGTAGGGATCAAAAGGGAAGAAACTGTCAAGTGGGTTGGTGCATGTCTGCACAAGGTCACCCCCACTGCCACTCCGTACAACTGGTAAGAACTGCCGATTGTTCCTCTCAATAATTGTGTAGCAGAACACCAACTGGTATTTCCTTTAAAAAGGTAATAAAGAGAAGAGAAGCATTTCAGAATTTCAGATATTATTAAAGCACAAAGTTATTTTTTAGCATACATCATGTCTATCTTCCTTTCCAACTGCTATAGGGTAAGTATATTCCTCTACACTCCTATAAACATCGCTTTAAGTAGAATCATATCAGCTCCAACACAAAACAGCCAGTTTCATAGTACTGTGGGATTTTATTAAAACTGAACCAGAACTAAACTCATTCCATCTAGAATATGTTGGTGTTATATAAGCTGTCTTAGATAACACTGTGCCTAACAAAACCCATGTTCTAAGTACTGTGCAGGTTTCAGATGCACACACACAAATACCTGTATTTAGCTGAAACTGAAATAAAAGAGATACCTGGTAATGGCAGCAAACAAGTTCACAACAGAGGGTATACAAATCTTCAGTGGGTTTAGCTGACACATGACAATGCGCTCAAAATTTAAACTCTGCAGATAGGACAGACCTTGAAAATAAGAACAATTGACAAGTTTAGGTTATGTATCATACAAGCTGAACTTAATTTCCAAGAATTTCAAGTCTGACCAGCCTGCACACAGCATACCACTTCCTACTCTCTTACAGTAGTTCACTCTCTAGCCCACAGCTTCTTCAGCAGAAAAGTTTCTCTAAGTAACGGTAACCTGCCACAGCCAAGGGTTACTGTGGCAGACACCAAACAC